GCATCTTTTCCAATTCCATACTCGAAGGAAGAGTAATGTCTGGTTTTCAGAAAGCTTCCAATTGAGCTATTTTATAATACCGTAAAATGGCTGTTCATAAAACGTCATGCCTCTGCATTTACCAATGTGGCTAGTAAAGTTAGCAATATGGCTCAAACCCACTACTGAATTCTATGAAACCCACATGGTCCTCTCTTCATACCGTAGAGGAATGTATGGTTTTGTATACGCAGATAATATACGGCTTGTAGTGTCGTTATCAAATAATGGTATTCAAAGCCGAATTATGAACCTGAGTTTGGACATTGTAGACCAGGTTGCTGCTGGTATTAGAACATGTCCATTAAAAATCTCTCCTGTTGGATGAAACAAATGGTGCTCCAAATTGCATTCAAAACATTGCATTGGTGGGTAATGTCCATGATGGCGCCATAGTGGAACATTTCCTGCTCGGTGAAACAAGAGATTCCGCATTGACCAGGCACCCACTTTTTTCTCCATCCACATGCCCTGGAATCAAAACCATTGCATCGAAAGATGAAAAAAGTCCTTAAAATTGCAGTGAAAACCATCAACTGGCTATTAGTCACGGTGGGAAACACCGCCTCTTTAGGCTGTTTTGTGAAGAATTTGGAATTGAACGTTCGGTGTTTGTCTTCCCTGAGGAAGTTCGTTGGCTGTCACGTGGGAATGATTTGCGTTCAGATACATTGTGCTATCTAAATAGTGACTGATACTGTCCTTTAAGTTGACTAACGTCTTGTCTTCTTATTCCTCACATGACTTAAAAGGACATGGTGTAGATGTCAAAGACTTTCAACACTTGACAATATGCCCGTTGTCTGCAGAACGGTTCAGAAATCCAGTCTGCAAATTTTCGATTTCAAGAATCGGTGAACGACCGAGCAGTCACTTCCGCTCATTTTCTCAGCACATTCTCCCCTCCTAGTACTTCCGAAGGAAATGTTCACTAAAGCAATACATGGATTGATATACAAATGAGTTGTAACTGAGCAACCACTGTGAGGTCCTGAAAAGAACAACTGTCGACCAATCAGGACAGTCATTCGGAGCTAAGACAAAGCGAGAACTTGTAAAACAGAAAGCCCATTGTATGGCCGAAGTGAGATAAACGTGCTTGCATGAGGAATCGTCAGCAAAGAAATGTCACATCAGCTGAATTTATCGACAGAACAGCCCTATCGACAAAAACAAGGGTGACTGGAGTGACTGTTTGTGACTTATTAGCCGCTGTCAGCCTGTCATACATAACCCCAAAGTGTGGAACGCCTGCGGCTCGATCCCGCGACTTGTTAGTTGGGAGTGCAACGCCTCTAACCACTGAACCACGGACTCGTTATCCTGTCGATTGCGATTAAGTATATACATGACAACGATCCCGCGACTCAGCGGTTGGAGGTGTTGGACTTCAAACTAGCAGGTCACGTGATCGAACCAAATATTTTCCACACTTTCGGTCGGGCATGACTGGCTAACGATGGTTAATAAGCTTGAAGTGACCACTCCAGTCTCCCTTGTCTTTGTTGTTAATACCATTCTACCGAAACAGTCGTACGGTCTCCGCCGAGATTTCGCACTCGTGCATAAACACATCACCGCGTACTGTGGAGTGACATTGCCGGCTGTCCTGAATACAAACGGTATCATGTTATCTCGCAGAGGGAATGCCTCGCAGGGGTTAAATCTGAGCCGGTCGGCATACCTTCAATGGCAGTGACTTTCGCAATTACTTGCCACTGTCCGCGCAACCAGAGCGTTCCGTGGACAGCTGAAGTTTAGCGGTGTGTCCTTCCATAATACTTATTTGATTTCGCGTGTTCGTGAGCAGAATCGTCGCGTGATCTAACCCGCGCCATGGAAATTAGTAAACCATGACAGATTAGTTACCTGCGTCCAGTTCGACCCTCATCCGCATGGCATTTCACGCACGAATGTGGCTGATATTTACGCAAAATTACTTTGCGGTGCATTACATAGCCGCAGAATCACGTTGTTCATAATATGGCGGCGAGGGAGCTTTTTCCACTTCTATGTAGGCGTACTTCGGGAAAAGCTTAAAAAGTCTCGTGGGTATTTCTTCTTTGAAAACGCATCTCTTTGATACCGACTTCTTGCACTCTCCCGTCTTGGTCGCTACAGTGTGGAAATAAGTGAAGAAGAAGAGTCGAGCACCGGAACACTTCGTTTATTGTCCTGAGCTTTCAGACTCGTGCAGGAGTTCATCGTCAGAGGTAGTAGCAGCAACAGAACAAGCGATAATTATAGGGCATGTTGGCCGATCATCGACCGACGACGCAAGACTGGAGGTGACTACGCAGGGCTCTATACGCTGGCGCCAGATCGATAGATCGATTGACCGAGTTCTCATCTGGGGCCCAGGCTTCAACCAATTCTCGGCCTGCTTTGTTTCCGGCGCGGGCGACAATTTTGGCGGCTGCGAAATTAAACTCGTGACTTATTTCGGAGGCGTGGGCGGACATTTGTGATAATGCGTCGCCTCGTCGCACGGCCAGCTTATGTTCGTGTATGCGCGATCCGAGCATGCGTCCAGTCTGTCCTGTGTAGTTACAAGCACAATTTTGACACGAAATGCGATACACTACTCCAGACTGCCCTTCAGGCTTTAACCGGTCTTTAATTTTCATTACCCTATTGCGCATGGTGGCTGTGGGGCGGTGTGCAGTTTCAACACCTAGCTCCGCGGCAATGCACTCGGTCGCTTCTGAAACACCCTTGATGTATGGCAGAGAATGCCATATCGTCGGTGGTGTTGATGTTCGAGTCCTCTGGTGGCGCCTGCATAGGCAGCAACTTATGAATGCTCTCGGATAGCCATTTTGCAAAAACTGGTCGCGGAGATAACGGGCCTCACGTGCTCTGTCCTCCGGTTTCTTGTGGTGAGTTTGGATCCTTTTGAAGTGTGTCTTCACACAGCTTCGTTCGTGAGCCACCGGCTAATTGCTGTGAAAACTGAGAAGCTGTGTGGTGTTCGTTGCCTTCCTATAAACCGTCGTTTTAAGTTCCCCGTCAAGGTTTCGTCTGACGAGCACATTCAGGAAGGCAACTGCTGTTCCTGTTCTTCGTCCCTCGTGCCTTATAACTGCCGCTTGTCCTGTTTCTGCCACTGCCGCTGACGATGGACTGCTGTATGAGTCTGAAAGCTCACGATAATAAACGAAGTGTTCCGGTGCTCGACTCTTCGTTTTCTTCACTTATGACAGTTTATTTATGACCAGACTTTAACACATTTTCTTTAAAAGCAAAGTGTTGCTTTTTAAATTAATATTTGCCTGGTAACCGACAACGCTGAAAACAAAGAGTCATCGACTGAAATATAATTGCTAGCAGTAACGCTGATACAATTAGTACCATAATACAAAAACCAGGGGGTGTGGGGTGGTACGCCTAGGTGTCGGCCCGGCCGCACCATCCACCTGCGCCTTCGCCCCCTCCAGTATTCCTGACTATGTCTTGACATCGGACCCAAGTGGTGGAAGAGGAGAGAGTGCGGTAGATGCCTCGCGCGTCTGCTATCACTGTGACCTAATTCACGCTCAAGTCATTATGTTTGCTCTCACCTTGCTGTGGGGTACACGTTGGACATCGTCGGCAACGACGGTCGAACTGTCAAAGTGACTTTCCCGAATACCAACCCCACAAATGGAATGAAGGAGGGTCAGTTCTAGGCTGAGGAGGAGGAGGAGGAGGAGGAGGAGGATGAGGAGGAGGAGGAGCGTACTAGTCAAACAACTGCGCTTAAACTTTTTTGTTGAGAAAAACCAAGTTTTCTTACATAGTACAAAAACCCGCACCACAAAACAATCGCTGTTATCTCGCAGAAGCACAAATACAGACCTTGCTCAGCGCTTAATATAATGTTCCTTGCCTGGAAATATAGAAACTTCCCAGTTCTTGCCGACTTAAAGCACCGTAAACAGATTAAGGGATCCGTCCACCGTGTGGGAAATTGCAGCTTTTTAAGTCTCCCACATTGAAATTTGAAGAACATACGAACACAGTGCATTGTGGTCGAAAATCGTTCTCGCAGTTTAACCATATCAGGCTCCATAAGCAGGAAGTTCTGCCCTTCTATGAGCACATACGGGGACCTGCATAAGAGTAAAAGATAAATAGCCGCTGCCTCAAGAAAACACCAGGCCGCGCTAACATGCCAGAACAACCTGAATAACAAGAAGTATACATACTGGCCAAATACACAAGGGCGTATATACAAATTCTCTATGTTATTATTACCGTCATGACTACTGCTACCACTACTAATACTGCTAGCACGACTACTACTACTACTACTACTGCCACTAGTACTAACACTGCTACTGCTGCCACTACTAAGACGACGACTACTGGTACTTCCAATACCATATCTCTTATTGCTACTACCAATAACAATACTACTACTACTACTGCTGCTACTTCTACTACTACTACTACCATAACTACTACAGTTACTGCAACAATTTACAGCTATTGTCTTGCAGCTGTTACTCCTCCTGCTGCTTCCACGAATATTGCTATTGAATCATTTTCTGATTCTCACGTCCATCGCATACGCCGATGTCGTCATCAATGGGTCATCATCCACAGCAGAATTTAAATCACGGCCCCCAGTAATCTTACCTCTATCATGCTATTGCAGGTTTCCTCGCCGAATGATGACACTGAATGGCTTGATTTTCTTGCTATCTCAGATTTGTTTAGGGATGAACCGTCAGAAGTTTCCAGCGAAATGGACATCATGGTGAGAGGGACGTTCTCAACTGCCGCTGCCTCCTCTCTCCCCTCCTCCTACACTTCATTCTTCGCTGCTCGGCATATTTTATTGGAGCTCAAGGTCAGCCGGCGCTGCCTGTGAAAGGCACAGCTCATCCCTTTTGCGCTAATATAAACAATTTGCGCCAGAAAATATTGCCTTTTGTGATTTTCGGTGCCGAATGTGACTGACGATGCGAAGAAGGCGAAACTGGTGGGGGTTGGATCCGAAGTCGTAGTACACCTGACGCAGATTATCCGTACCTCTTTTGTGTGCTTCCTAGCTGGAGATAAAAGCGTGCTAGAAGTCGTCTTCAGCTTGCTGTGGAACACGCGGTGGACATCGTCGGTTGCAACAGGCGCACTCTCATCACATCCGTTAGTTTAATATTAGATAGAATGGTGTTACCGACAAAGACAAGGAAGACTGGAATGGCCATTTCTGGCTTATTAGCCTTCGTCAGCCAGCCATACACAACCCCGAAGTGTGAAACACCCGAGGCGACCTGTTAGTTAGAAGTCCACGCCTCTAACCATTTCTGTCTCCCTTGTCTTTGTCGGTAATTCCATTCTGCCTATAGCATGCACCGCTGGGCTGCTGCTGGTTTGGCTCGAGAGAGAGCCCGTAAGCCACAACGGAATCAGTTAGTTCCTTAAGGACGATCGGTGAGCGTCCCCTACCATTAGTGTTAGATGTCTGTGTGCAAAGTAAGCATCCGACGCACGCTGTTTGTCCTAGGTTTGGATACCTTTTTCACTTACTTGACAATTTCGGGCAATGGATCCCGAACAAAACTAGGAACACTGTATGGAAATCCCACAAACTTCGAAGAAGGCTGTCCGAGTGATGGGCTTAAGCAATTCAAACTGCTTTCCATCAAACGGGGATGTCCACCGTGTACGCCAAAGCAAGGTGAGAGCAGGGACGTTGCTTTTTGCGTCATTTTATTTATACTGATAGCAGATATGTCCAGCGTTTACCGCTCTCTCTCCTCCTCCCCCACCTGGACCCGGTGTTAAGATCGGAGGCGGGAGAAGATGCGGATGGCTGGCACGGCAAAACCACGCACCTAGGCCTGTCACCACACTCTCTGGTCCACAACGAACACTGACTTGAGTGCTGATAGAAGCGAACAGGCGAGTTCCAGGTTGCACTTAAGAAGACGTAGATGCGGTCACTGGAACAAGAAATTTATTAGCCTGACGTTTCAGATTCTCACTCGAATCAATCATCGTCACCTTTTTCTACGAATGTCTCTGATGTTGGATTAAAGTGAGAGTCCGAAACCTCAGGCCAATAAATTTCTTGTTCCAGTGATCGCATCTTCGTCTTCTGAACTGACTAGGGTTTTATGCCGCAATAGGAAAGGAAAGTGGTGATGTAGCGGCCGAGGACGTCAAGGGTAGCACACACCAAAGTATGGAAACGCTGAGAGAAGATCCTGGAGGAGATAGATCTGAACAGAACTGTTAGAATCTCATGATACTTATTCACATGCAGGAGAAGAAGGTACGTCGAGTAGGGGATATAGTATAATATCACGAGATGAGCACGGGAAAGACGTATAATAATTTTTAATAGTACGAGCAGGATGAGTTACACTTGTGAAGTAACCTGTCTGGGTGGAGAGGCGACACCGACATATCAGCTAATTAACCGGCGGGGAACGCAGCGCTGTGAGCAACTGCGGGGAAGGGCCGGGGGAGGTGCCGACGTAGAGAGGAAGAGAACGGTACGAACGTTACGGTACGATGCGGATCAAGGGGTCGGCGGAAGTGAGAGGAAGGGAAACCGGCCAACCGGTCCAACGACGGGCAACAAAGCTTGTCAGAGGTCATAAAAACCTACCTTACGAAACTAGACTGTCAAATCTTAACCTCTTTCCCCTGGACTACAGACAATTACGTGGCGACTTAATTCAAACGTTTAGAATGTTACGGGGTCAATATTGCTGCCTCGCATCCGGCGACTTCTTTCAGCTGGCCACCACTACTAGCTTCAGTGGACATCCTCTGAAATTACGTGTGACAGGGGCGAAACTGGACGCAAGGAGGTCCTTCTTCAGCCACAGAGTGGTAGAGGCATGGAATGCCCTGCCTGTGGACTTCGTCCTGTCCTCATCCGTGGACTCATTTAAGAAGAAGCTTGACTAGTACAAGGATATGTACCTTCACGGCATCAAAAACTAACAAATTTCCCCCCTGTACTACCGGCCCCACCCAACGTTTTACGTTACAAAGCATGCTACTCTCTATATTTTAGTAACATTACGCTTTATGTTTTTCGTTATCTCCTGACCGAAGCATATGCGCTTGCTTCGATATTACTTGGTCCATTCAGTACCGTGCTGGTCATTGCACAATTTTGACGTAGAAGGCATTCACAGACAAATTTATACCAGTGACCAATGCTTGTTGTATGTAATTACTTATCTAATTTTTTTCACACTTGCCTTACACATTGTTTTTTATGACGTTATTGTAACCAAAAGGGGGTTCAAAGGCGCTCGTCTACCTTTCCCTTAATAAATCTGATTTTATCTGATTTTCGCCAGTACGCGGTTATGCCATCTCCACCCTTGGTCCGCGCGCTGAAAAGTGTTACAGCATTCAAACAATCCTGTTCATGTCAAGGGACGTAACAGTGACACCAATCTTAATTGGCGCGGCATGATTCTGTAACTAGGGGCGCCGCCACAGCCCAAATGTTGGCTGTTATTATGAGTGCGCATGTCCAATAACTCCTGTCGGACTGCCATCTAACCTCCGTTTTGGTCCAGCGCATCTACCGAGTGACCATTTTCATGGGCACCCGGTATGACAATTTATTGGATTCAAAGAGCAGATGTTCTCCTCATGAAATTGCGTGGAAGATGTTGCCTAATGCGACTGTCCGCCTATTTAAATTGGGTCACGACGAGTTGATGCGTCAATTGCATCATTGGGAGGCCTACTAAGATAATGGGCCACGGAACAATCAATATCGTCATCATTCATTTTACGCTATGTAGGCAAAACAATAACATACCAAAAGCGGTTTGTTAATTCAATACTTTGTATTGCGCCGTTTGGACATTAATTTATTCCAATAATTCTTATGCAGTCAATTTTGGAACCCTTCACAAACCTTCTTTACATAGGATCGCCCAATCTTCTAACCTTTACTGTTGAAGCAAATAATTAACGAAAAAGTACCGACTAGAGGCAGATTTTGCTGAAATGTACAAAGCAGCCTGTACAAGAAAGTACCCGACTGATAAATTTTTTTCATTCCTTTAACCAAGTCACACCGTTGTGTGATAAGACCTTAGATGACTAAGGTGTAACTTTAAGCGACCTTGGATTTTAAGGTTTCGCTTAACTTAAAAAATATCATTCCTTATCCCTGTATCTCTAATTCCTATTGGAATAGCGATCATTTGATGACAGGTTTCTAGGCGTCCTCTCGAAATCCGACTTACTACTACGGTGTAAATGTATCGTGCAGAGAAGAAAGACACGGATTGGCTAAGTGTGGGGTAACACCTTTTCTCATAGGAGACAAGCTGGTTTCTTTATCAACCTCAGGCTTCACTTGATGGCTGCCTTCTGGCGTGCGTGACTGTAAAGTGACCATTTCTATGACCCTTTGACGATATTTTAAAGCACTTGGTTACACAGGCTGCATTGGACAGGACCCACGCTGCGTTTTTTAAGTTCGCCGATCCGGTTGCATGAACGCTGTTCAACCTAGTCATGGTTAGCACATTCAGACTCAGATGCATCCCCTGCTATTATCATGCACGTAGACGGTGCACATGTATCGCTACCTTGTAGTGCAGACAAAATTAAAGATGGCATAAAATGCCCGTATAAAGACGGGGCATGCGGAGCGCTGCCTTTTTGGTCAGACGCGGTTAAGTTGGTAGAAAATTCCTGTAGGCAGTACACCGACATTGCTCGCCGAGGGCGTCGGTTGGACCGTCTCCTCACGACGAATACTTACGCTTGCAGGTCACCAAACTGTTGTAACCGTACTTCAGTTAGATATGATAAAATATTGCCAATAGAAGCGAAGAGACGAGTCCCAGGAAGGAGTCTTGAAGAAGGAGACACGATCGCCGGGACAAGAGCTTCATTAGCCTGAGGTTTCGGATTCCTACTCGAATCCATCATCAGAGACAAAAGAGCAGAAACGGGTGGTTGCTGCACAAGGGGCTGCGGTATTTATAGGATGCAGTAGCCATGCTACTGCATACCTATGAACATTCACGGCTCCCCCCTTCATCCGAGATCGTCGCACGTGGTGTGATCATTGCTTGATGGCCGACATTCGAGTCGATAATTGCTGCAATTTCATAACGTGCGTTGGATGTTGGCGTGATGATTGCTCGGCCATCTAACGCACCCACCCCGGTGTTGGGAAAAGTGTTTACCTCTGCGCTCCCCGCATGGCTTGTTACGCGGGGTAGGCAAAATTTTAGCACGCAGTATGGAGTGGGAAGATCGTTGCACTTGTTGATGGACTGGGGGCCAGTAAACCATGACTCCAGTAGCTCCCGGCTCACGCGGTTGTCACCTCTTGCGAGAATTTCGGTCTCAGCGAATTTGAATGTGTGGCCGGATCTCGTCGAATGAGCCGCAACTTGAGAGCTGGCGTCATTTCTGCGCACCGCTGCCGCGTGTTCGGCCATTCTCGTTCAGAGCTGTCTTCCGGTTTCTCCGACGTAGTTGCTTTGTCCGCAACTGCATCAGATCCGATAAACGACTCCAGACGTTTCTAGCCGTGGCAGTGGGTCTTTCGGTTTCATGACCAGACACATGATGGTTGCCTCCGGTCTGTGTGCCACTCCAACCCTAAGTGGTGCGAGAAGGCGGCCGACAGCTTTCAAAACGTTCTTGACATACGGAAGTGCCCGCCAAGACTTGGTGTCCGTGCGGTTAGGCCTTTCGTCCCTTTTGCGTATGCACCGGTCGACGAAGTTGCGCGGGTAGCCATTGGCTTTGAAGATCCGTCGGAGGTATTGTAGTTCAGCAATTTTGTCTTCCGGCTCACTGCAGTGCGTTTCGACATGCCGATAGAGCGTCCTTACGCAACTGCGTTTGTGGATGATTGGGTGGTTACTGTTGAAGTTCAGTACTTGCATCGTATTTGTCGCTTTCCTGAACACTTTGGTCTTTAATCCACCACAATCCTTGCGGCATACGAGGACATCCAGGAAGGCCAGCTGGTTATTCTCTTCCTCCTCCATCGTAAATTGAATGTCCGGGAAGACGGCGTTGAGATGTTCTTGGAATGTCAACACCTGATCCCGTTCGATGACGACGAAGGTATCATCCGCATACCGGGCCCAGAATTTCGGTCTGTGGTGTTGGAAGACCAGCGACTCTAACCATAGCAGGACCGCCTCGGCGATGAATCCCGAAATCGACGAACCCATTGGTGTGCCTTTCACCTGTTCGTAGATTGTCCCGTTGAACGTGAAATACATCCTGAGACAAAGCCAAAGGTTTACTTGAGGACCGACAGTTCTATGTTCCATGTGCAACGAACCCTTTTAAGGCGCTGACACGCGAAATTAATGCTACGTCGTTGGCCTTGGAGAACTGGGGTGCAATAACACCGACCGACAGACGCATGCCGAGACCCCAAGATACGGATTTGGCCCGATTCTATGGCCTCCCTAAGGTGCACAAAGACGGCGCTCCCCTTCTCTGGCCTATCGTGTCGCTCAAATGAACTCCAACGAACGGACTGGCTAAGTGGCTGTTCCGGCGTCTCAAATTCTTGACCGCTGAGTCAGACAGCACGGTCTCTTCGTCAGCACAATTCCTGGAGAAACTCAAAGGGGTAGGCCTCCATCCAAATGAGGTCATGGTATCTTTTGATGTTACATCCCTTTTTACTTCTATTCCCCAGGACCTGGCGATCGAGACAATTGAGCTGCAACTACCAAGCAAATATGATGAAACGGAGAACCGTCTTGGACACGCCCAAATCCTTCAGCTCCTGAAGCTCTGTCTCAGGACGTACTTCACGATCAACGGGACAATCTACGAACAGGTGAAGGGCACACCAATGGGTTCGCCGATTTCGGGATTCATCGCGGGGGCGGTCCTGCAACGGTTAGAATCGCTGGTCTTCCAACACCACAGACCGAAATTCTGGGCACGGTATGTGGATGACACCTTCGTCGTCATCGAACGCACCTGCCGACGAGAAAGCATCCGTTGTCTCATTTCTCATGCCGTCGACAACAACGCGGACATTGGCCGCTCCTTTATTTCCTACTCCTATCTCGTTAGTAACTTCACACCAGAAATCGTCATACCTATTGGATACTTCATACCTGCAATTTCTGATTACTCTGGTTCCCTTATCTGCAGTCAGTCCCCAATTGTTGTCGTGAAAGCGTTCGTACATGCACTCCCGCCTGCTGGCCCGGTGTGCCTACCTCAACCTAGTAAGTGGACACTATAGGATTATAGTCCATGGGATTATTCATTCTTGCGTCTAACCGAAATGTTTCCAAACTACTTCCACGGCTGAATTCGCAGGGGAAATATATGCCCTGTCATGATCATGCCGACAAAGTTCTCCTACCGGTGCCATCAGACCTATCGTAGCAGGTAGTCTAATTATAAATGGCAACAAATTTATTACTGAAAGCAAACAGTAGCACTTTTTAATAGAGGTTTTGTTCGCGATCCCGAGTTTACACACTGCATCGATTTCGACTGCCGTCGTAGTTTGTTTGCCAGGGGCAGTCGCCATAGATGCAGAGTACTTACTGAAATATGTACTAAGCAAAATGACAAAACTTCTGTCATGTATCAAGTGCCTTTAAACAACCCACAGTCCTTTCTGATTGTGCCCATCTAGTATCCCATCGTTCAAGTACAGCCAAACCTCAACTTAAATTTCATAGTTAGTTTCGAAAGCAAAGAATTCGTATATTGCTTTTGTATATACATGATGGCAGGTAGGAGAGCAAGAATCCATGGCAAGATAAAAGTACTTTTAATAACAGCTGATTTATTTTTTTGCCTGAAATTTGCGATAGGATATATCACGGTTTATAACTTCAGCTTACTTAGTAATCATTTGATGGATTCTAGACTGATTGCATAGAAAAACCTGCTTGGGTAGTCAGTCTGCTTTATCAGAAGAGGTGAAATTCATGCGTTTCTGCAAACTCCCCGTTGGGAGCGCGAAATCAGGATGTTGGTGCGTTAGCTGCACTCAAGACGTGCCTTTTATCCAGTACTCATCAACAAGTTTGATAAAATGTGAAAAATCGTGGACACACCGAAGAAGAAGGAGACACGATTGTTGGGACAAGAGCATTATTAGACTGACATTTCGGATTCCTGCTCGAGCCCATCAGCACAGACAAAAGCGGATACGGGTGGCTCATGCACATGGGACTGCAGTATTTGTAGGATGCAGTCGCCACGCTACCGCATACCTATGAACATCCACGGCTCCCCCCTCCATCCGGGATCGTCGGACTTGGTGTGCTAATTGTTTGATGGCCGGCATTCGCCTCGTTAATTGCTGCAATTTCATCACGTGTGATGGGTTTTGGTGTGATGATTGCTCGACCATCTGATCCGCCGACCCTGGAGATGGAAAAAGTGTTCACTTGTGCGCTCCCCGCGTGGCTAATTACTCCGCCTAGACGTAGTCTCAGCACCGAGTATGGAAGGAGAAGTTCATTGCACTTGTTAATGGACCGAAGACTTGTCTCAAGCACCTCCTAATCAATCAGGAGGACCATAACGTCGTTGCACATAATGGGCACTCTAAAAGATCCAAACAGTCTGCGATGCACTACAAAATCTGACGATGTTTGCCCAAATCGTCATGAGGGTAGAGCTTCGTCGATAATTCAGGATGGGAGCGCCAATGCCTATTTCGCTACCGTCAGCCTACCAATGTAGTCCATTCCTGCAGTTGTCTACAGTGCTACACTGCCCCACCTACCTGTTTCACAAGGATATGTTGGTACCAACTTCACCCGGACGGACCATTGTGTAGCGCTTATGTGGTAGCGCGGGATTATCCCTAGCCCTCTGTGTAGCCTAGCTTGCGCCGTCCCCAACATCTCTGGCCGCTACAACCCACATTCAAGGTCAGCCAGTAAGCGTCAGATAGGATGAAGCAGAGGGCGCACACGATTACAATGCCGTCTACCAGCCATACAAGCAGTCAGATGTTGCCAACATGTCAGAACATGGATTGGCCACAGTGGGGCACCTTTACATCTGCCACAGCGTCGACCAGACCGTCCGACCTGCAGTTCCACAAAATTCCAACACAAAATTGCTACTGAAGGCCTAACAGTAGCACTAATATGCAACATTCCGACGATATTCATGTCTACGTGGTAGCTACTCACATGAACCTTGGAATGTCACGCTTCAAACTTCAACATGCTCCACGGGCCATTAGACATTTTGACTTCATCCGCGAGATCCCAACTTTCACATTATTTCGACCGCATTAAAAGTCGCAGAACGTCTGAGTAGACATTTTTAATGAGCGTATGTGTCTTTTATCCATCTCCAACCGGCGAAAAAGTGCCAGGGATTAGAGAGGGCGTCGGTCGTGGAGTGCAAACTTTTGGACTCTCAGTGGCCCCCTGCGCAGGATCGTCGATGTACAGAGGCCGCTTAAATGTCTTTAAATAGTAGCCTGTCTGCTGAAACAGGACATGACGCCGGTTGTGTGGAAATCACTGGGACGTACTGAGAAAAGATAGATTTTCAAACAAACTGACAAATGCGAGGGTTCCGGGAAAATATGGTAGCATAAGAGTTTTTAGTTTGAACTACTGTGATTCGTTAAAGTAAAAATTTCGACATGCCCACGCACAAACCCTTCCTTTTTGCCAAGATGCCCCTAAAAGGATCGTTACACAACTGCATAAAGGCAAATGCAGATACTTTTTAAGTGAGCTTGTCCTGATACCTGGCTGGTTCTATAGGACTGGCTACGCATAGCCCCGTTCTTTCGCACCCCACAGCCCATTTAAATTTTAGTACTTCAAACAAGAGCTCCGTAACTGAGGTCAAAAATGCACACCCTTCAAAACCTTCAATATTTTCCAAAGCCGCCAGATAAATGTGAAAATTGTCACTACGGAAATCAAGTACGGTATCCACTGTTTTCTGATTTGTGTAGGGTCTGAATAGCAGACAAAAGGAGTGGTTTCTTTCCTGATTTTATTGTCATTTATAGCAAGAAAACATCCTATCCGCCCAGTGCTTTCACGTTCTAGCCAGGCTGATCACCAGCTTCTGTCGACATGCTCTTGCCGCACTTTTTTTGAACGGACGCAATCGCAACGAAGATCAGCGATCGCATCGCGGGAATGTGAAAAAAGATTATCAGTGGCACCAGAGTGCTAAGCAGGAGCAGCAGAAACTCCCCAAACTGTTGGGCTGGACTGCGCAGTACGTACATAAGTGCACCAGTCGCACTGAGGAACTGGTAGGTCGCATCGTAGCCGAAGGTCGCTATGTAGGCAGCAGTCAAAGGTATGATGCAAAATGAGGCCGGCCAGGCATAAGAATCAAAGTCATCACCAAATTTGCTGAGGGGGCCGGCAGTATCGCGAGCGTCGCAGGTCGTCGAGGAAGAAACGGAATCCGCGGAGGCTGTGCCAGAGGATGGTGAGGATGATGATGGTGATCGCGGATTCGGAAAGTAGAGTTGGTCGAGTTCGTTCACCAGGGCGCTCCTGCCCAATCGCCGCGCTCGTAAGACCACAGCAATGCAAATATAGACGAGAATGGCAGGATATATGAGCCCGAAGATCGCAACCCACAGGAAGGTGTAGGCATAAATCATTGTTAGAATGGCGAGGTTACGCGTGGGCGGGGCACAGGCGCAGTTATTCACATGCGGCCGCGCTAACAGCAGCTGGGGCACCGTACTGAGGAAACTGCCAATGAAAACCAAGAGCATGTAGGCAGTGAGACGCTGTTTCTCCGTAGTGATGGGATAATTCTTGATCTGCAGCATCTCGAAGGCCCTGTTGCAGGCAAAGTAAAAAAGGCTGTTGAAGATGTGAGCGTTGGTGTACCAGAAGAGGAAACGACTGCTCCAGAAAATGCAGACCAGACCGTCGAAGAAGGTGTTGCCAGTGTTTGTGCCAAATTCACCGATGTCACCGGCAAAGTTAATGAGTGTGGAGACTAAACAACTCAAAGAGAGCACCCGCAGGAGAACCAGACCCTCCGTCTTCTTGGAGCGAAGACGAAAGAGTAGAATTGTGACTGTAAGGTTGGCGGCGAAGCCGAAGACTTCCAGGTGAAGTGCGCAAATATCCAGGGCTTCAGGCCAGTAATAGGTCTTGCTGCAACGCCAGAATGGTTTCAAAATATCCGCCATTCTCAATCCCCGGTCTGAATTGGCGGACGACTTATGAGTCTGGTGAGGGTTCGGGCCGAGCGAATAGAAAGCCGAATGGGTGTCAGCGTTGTTTTTCTAGCCAATCAGCGCCCGAGGTCGACACAGATGGAAACAGTTATTGTGGACAGAAACGGTGGACAAAACAGTCCCATCGGACTTGAGAAAAAGACCTGTGCTCTAATAGGCACGAATTGTTTTTTAATACAGTCATGGGAAACTGAAAATATTTCCAGGCAGGCTCTCGTAATCTTCATTAAGTAGTTCGCAAAGGCAGCCGAGCTGTTGTTAGTCGACCGACAAGTTCGGAATATTTTAAGAATTAACCAGTCTCATAAAATCTAAACGTCCAAAGGAATAGTCCCAAATTGTAAAACTGACGTATTCATAGCATGAGAATGATCAGATCCCATTTAAAGCTTTAGTTGGTAAAGTGGTACAACTTTATGTCTGCTCCCATGCATGTAATACATATGCTGCCCAATTAACTTTTGTTCGTACATCAACTATCCAAAACATGTCACCAAATTATTGGTGTCAAAAGCACATTTTGTTGTTAAAACGCGTCTCACAAATATGCAAGGAATTGAGTTCTGCAACTGACAGTAAACACTCGAAAGTGCGCTTATCTCATACAAATCGGTCAACTTGAGCGTAAGACAGGAGAATCGATAAATTCAATGGCATTTGAGTACTTACCGATCGTGTTACGGAACTCATTGATCTCATTGTGTCCTAGGTTTCTCCCTTGAGCCCAGCCAGCAGCCGCACAGCACATATTCTATAGGCAGAATAGGATTACCGAAAAGACAAGGGGGCTTAGAATGGCTACTTTTGGCTTGTTGGCCGTCGTCAGTCAGGCATGCCCAGCCCCGAAGTAAGGAAAACCTGGGAATCGATCCCGCGACCTGTAATATAGAAATCCAACGCCTTCAACCACTGAGTAACGGAATCGTTGTCATGTATATTCTCGATCACAACCGACAGGATAAAAAGTCCGTGGCTCAGCGTTTAGTGGCGTTGGACTGCTAACCAACAGGTCGCGTGATTGAGCAGGTCGTCCACACTTTAGGGTTGTGTATAACGGGCTGACGAAGGTTTATAAGCCAGAAGCAATCAATCCAGTTTCCTTTGTTTTTGTCAATAATGCTATTCTGTCAATAAATTCAGCTGATGTGACATCTCTTTGCCGACGTTTCCTCATGCAAGCACGTTCATCCCACTTCGACCATTTGATCGTTTTTCTGTTTCACTAGTTCTCGCTTTGTCTAAGCTCCGAATGACTGCACTGATTGGTCGATAGTTGTTCATTTCAGGACCTCACAGTGGTTGCTCAGTTACAACTCATTTGTATATCAATCCATGTACTGTTTTGGTTAACATTTCCTTAGGAAGTACTTGGAGGGGAGAATATGCTGAGATAATGAGCGGAAGTGACTGCTCGGTCTCTCACAGATCCTTGAAATCGAAGATGTGCATACTGGATGTCTGAACCGTTCTGCAGACAACCGTCATATTGTAGAAAGTTTTTGACACCTACACCATGTCCCTTTAAGTAATGTGAGGAGTATGGGGACAAAAAGTTAGTTGACTTAAACGGCAGTATCAGTCACTATTTAATAGGCACAATATACGGGAACTCGACAAACAGGCACAAATAGGGTGTAGGACCCCAAATAACTTGGGCTGGCCTGAGGATCGTGTCATACGTTGAATGGTGGCAGAGGGGGTCTTACGGGTGGGACAACGCACAGGACGGAAAGCAAAAAGACACATAAAAGGAATAAATTTCTGCCGAAAGTCTTAAGATGCGCTGCCATTTGGTAGGGAAAGTGAGAGTGATGATTGAAAAATAAACAAAAATCAATTTTCACAAAATAACGGACTTTGAATAAGGCACTGCTGGTAGGCTTACATTTAGTCAAGAGGACAAGGAAATCTCAACTAATGGGAAAGGTAGAAAATAAGTGATGCTTACAGCCACACTGAATTTTAGGGTATATTTTGGCGTTGTTATTTACCTGGGGTCTTACGTCAAGCCATCACCAACAAACAATTTTGTATTTCATAGGAGAATCTGAAGGCACAGTTGAGATACAAAGCAATTACTGGTTTATGCACCGTGCTCGCAACAAAGGCTCTAACTAAAAGCTCAAACACCTGTCTCGACATGTCGCGGATGCGAGGGCTCGGCCCTTTCAGTGGTTTTCCCCAGCGCTCCTCATATGATTTCTTGTATAAACTTCGGGTTCCAAGGTAAGCATTTAGAGGAACTCAGAAATTAAAGTGCAAAATTAGAGTACACAGTAGGTGGGCTAACTCATGAAATGTCAGCCGAAATTTCGGAATGCGTTCTCCTTTCTAAAAGATTAAGTAAGTAGGGTTGAAAAACTAATAATCACGTAGCATAATTCAATATTAATCCAGTTACCTCAAGATACCTGCATTTGAGCGAAATTCTTTCCGGCTGCATGCAATAACTATACGCTGCAAAAATGAATACTTAAGTAGCATGTAATTTTCTCATCAATTTTCGATGCTCCTAAAAATTCAATTATATTTCCTAAAAAACATGCATAAACATATTCATTCTCTTGCTCACTCAGTATGAAATCATGTTCGTTTTCGATTTTTTACTCGAAAAAGGAGTATAATTCGCTTTTTAAAGACTTTTCTAATTCCCGAATAATTTTGAACCCGACCTGCTGTTACACTTGCATTCGATGTTTCGAACCATATGCTGAATATTTTCCGCGTACGGAAAACCATACATTTCTCTACGGTATTAAGAGGAGACTATATGGGGTTCTTAAATGTAGCAGTGAATTTGAGCCATATTGTTAACTTTACAAGCCACATTGGTAAATGCAGAGATATGACGTTTAATGAACGGCCATTTCACAGTATTAAAAAATCTCGCAATTAAAAACTTTTTAAAAACCGAATTATACCGCTTATTCTAGTATAAATTTGTAAAAGGACGTGATTTCCCGCCGAATGAGCAAGAGAATGAATATTTTTATGCACGTTTCCTATGAAATATAATTGAATTTATATCGGCAACGAAAATCAATGAGCAAATTACATGCTACTTAAGTAGTCATTTTTGCAGCATGCAGTTCCTGCATGCAGCCGAATGCCAGAGTTATGGCTGAATAATGGCGCCGGATAGACACCAGACGGCAGCGTTAAAGTTCAAACACCAATGCCCCCTCTAAGGCACGAGTTTCCAGCCTCATTCATGCCCCGCACCTCAGAAAAATTTAATCATGTTCTCGTACACCCTGATAAAAGTTTCGAAAATGTCAAAAACCGGGTTGCATAGTCAGATTGTGATAATAAACAATAAATAATGACTCTTTCGTTCCCGCGTATTGGACAGGGGTTCTTTTAAATCTTGGCACATTGTTTCTAATAGCAATTCGCATATCTACTTGTACATCCGAGGATTTCTGGATTTTGTTTCAATTGAAAAGAGGGCGCTAAATCCAGTCCCGCATAAGCATTTCGTAGCAAAGAGGATGAGCACAGTTAGTCCTTTTTCTCTAGGTTTTGGGAACATATTCATTGGCGGACGTCATTACTGTTGCAAAGTTACTATCGATGTTTCCGAGGTTTTCAGTTCTTCTTCTTTGAAATACCCATCAAATGATAATATTCTCAAGTGATCCGTAATTTGTTTACATACATGTGGAATTAGAGGCTGTTTGTTATCAACAATTTCTTCTAGCGATAGAAAATCAGAAGGATTCTCTCTTCTAGCTCATCGACACCTAAGATGTAAATTTTCTTTGAAGCTAGTTATTTTCTCACAGCATGAAAATATATTTATACTTTCCCTCTGGATAGATATTCTCAAGTCACCCATACGAGCAAAATTATCCCTCGAATAGACTGCCATTTGATTGAATTATTGTAATTCAATTTGTCCAACAGGATCACAATCTCGTTCCTCTAAAAATGCTTTACCTTTTCTCGCAGTTCGCAAAACGCGTTAAAGCATTCCCACGCGACAGCCAACGGACTTCCTCAAGGAAGACGAGAGCCGAACGTTCAATTCCGAATTCTTCATAAAACAACCCAATGAGGCAGTGTTTGTGATCGCGACCACCAGACAGTTGATGGTTTTCAATGCAATGTTAAGAACTTTTTTATCTTTCGAGATAATGTTTTTGATGCCAGAGCATGTGGAGGAAGAAAATAGTGGGCGACTTTTTGAGTGCGGAATATCTTGTTTTACAGAGCAGGAAACATTCCATTATGGCACCATCATGGACAATCCCCACCAATGCACTGGCTTGTCTGCAACTTGGAGCACCATTTATTTCATCCAGCAGGAGAGAGATTTTTAAGCGACATGTTCTAATACCAGCGGCAACCTGGTCTACAATGCCCAAACGCAGGTTCATAATTCGGCTTTGAATACCATTACAGTGAGTGACCAATCTCATCAAATGTTGATTGAAATTCTGAAATGCGTTTTCGATTAGGAAGGATTACTTGGTCGCGGTTGTGATACTGATTATCCTAAGGCATACTCTTATAATATTTTGGCCTTGGCAGGATGTTAGCTTTTAAATGCATTTCTTTTCAATCTCATGTAGAAAGTGTTCTCGGTAAAAAATGACTACTTAATTAGCATGCATTTTTCCCATTGATTTTCGATGGTCTTGGAAATTCAAATATATTAAATAGAAACCACAAACAAAAATATGCCTTCTTTTAGTCAATCAATAGAGAATCAAGTCTTCTTCATATTTTATACTTAAGGAAGGAGTATAATTAGGTTTTAAAAAAGTTTATAATTATGAGACTTTTTAGGACCGCGATATGTCCATTCCCATAGCATCGTACCTGGCCGTTTACCACTGCTCCTCATGAAATGTACATCATGGTCCGCATCCATTGCAAAATTTTATGGACCCTGTATGATATCTCTTTAATGACATAGAAAAATATGGGATTTTCTTTACGCGGAACGCATGCACCTTGTAGAGTGTAATCACTAAGCGCTAATGCAACGAATGATCAGGCTCCAAATTTTTCGACAATTAGAATACTTTTTTAAAACCTAATTATACTCCTTCCTCAAGTATAAAATATAAAGAAGACGTGATTCTCTATTGATCGACTGAAAGAAAGCATATTTTTGTTTGTGGTTTCCATAAAATATATTTTCAAATTTCCAAGACCATCAAAAATCAATGGGGAAAATGCATGCTAATTAAGTAGTCATTTTTTACCAAGCACGCTTTCTACATGAGATTGAAAAGAAATGCATTTAAAAGCCGATATCCTGCCAAGTCCAAAATGTTATAAGAGTGTGCCTTAGGATAATCAGTATTACAGCCGCGACCAAGTAATCCTTCCTAATCGAAAACGTATTTCAGAATTTCAGCCAACATTTCATGAGATAGGTCACGCATTGTACAATCATAGACAGACCGTGTCATCAGCTAAACAATTTCACACAATGGCAACTCTCGTCGGGGTTAAGTGTGCCGATGTTTTAAATCGCGTCCTCTGTGTTTATTGAACGTGCAGTTTTGAAAGGGAGGATGAGAAAGTAAAGATTCATGAACAGCGCAACGTAGGACGTTCCCTTTAGCCAACTGCATTCCGCCTTCGGTCCCTTATTCAAAAAAAAAACAATTAAGCAGGGAATACGAGCTGGATCGACTTCACATTATCTGCCTCTTCAAGTAAATTCGACACCGCGCCCATTTGTGCTACCATATAGTGATGAAGTAAAACGTATCCTTCGAAAAGCAATTTCTGAAAAAAGTCTTAGTATTATTAACATTTATCCACGCAATCGAAGGTCCCACCCATAAAACCCCTATTACCATCTGTCCCGTAAGACAGCCTGCTTTGGTCGTGCGGATTTTTTGGGTACCATCTCCCGATTGTTACCGTGCGGCTGATTTCAAAAAGTTGTTTCAGTTATCGTAAAAAAGCAAAATATTATTTCAAGCCTCTCAGGGTGCTATCTTTTACCCTCAAGGTGTGTGAGTACCGCTGGTGGAGAACCCCTTAGAGTCTAAGGGATGTTCAGGGAAAACAAAAAAGAACGTGTGGGTTCATATGCAAAACCTTTGAAAAATTACTACGTTGTATCATTTTTAAAGGCGGACTTGTTAAAAGCTATACTGGGCTTGCTCTAAGCATGATTCCCCATCTCAGCGTAGTCCCCGTTTAAAAATTATATAATAGCTAACGTCTTGGCGGATGCTATGGCTATTTCCATCTGAAAATCTCTGCAAACTGCAGGCTTCCGTTGTCTGTAAACAGGGCTGGGTGCCCAAGAATCGCATCTACTACTTCGACAGAATAAGGTTGTTCTAATAACGAGACCAGATACGGGAAGTGGTGTTGTTTTGATAGACGGGGCCGACTACAGTACAAAAATATAGTCAGTCCTGTCGGACCAGCAAGAGTTCCGTAGGACAGAAAAGGATAAGGATCGGACATATGAGGTTGAAATACAGTTGACTAACCGTTTGAAAAGACTTCAGGCGAGTGGTTTCATAAGCGGACACAACCTAGGGCGTCTCCGACCCACTGGCATGCAGATACCTCGGTTATATGGTTTGCCAAAGATCCATAAAGATGGTACACCGGTTTGTCAAATCCTAGACAAGAGAAATTCGCGATAGCAAAATGGATTGCCGAGAAATTAAGCCCATACAGTACCAGCTAGCACCACATATCTATCGGAATTCCTTTGCATACGTTGAGGGCCTTAAAAACCTCGACCTTGGCTATGTTTTTGCTAGACGTCTCGTCTCATGTTACGAACGTACCGGTCACAGAAACCGTCAACATCCACTGTGAAATCCATTGCCTCTAATCATTAAGATATAGGAATGCCGATGGATGCAATCAAAGAATTGCTACTCAGATGTACCTTAAACGTACAGTTCTTATTTGACAAGAGTCTGTATAGACAAGGAGACAGAGTAGCTATGGCCACACACCTTGGTCGTCTTTTGGCGAACATATCCATGGGCAAGCTAGAGGCTTTCGAGCCTAGTCGCCAGATCAAGGGTCTGAGATACTATGGACGCTACGTGGATGATATATTCACGATTGCACCTGAACAAGACGACGTTTCAGTTCTACTGGATGATATCAATCAGGCGCACCCATCAATCAAATTTACTCTGGAAGAAGAGCACTCCGGATCGCTCCACATATTCTGAATGTACTTTTGAGTAGAAGGCCTGACAATAGTATTTGGCGCAGAATCTATCGTAAGAATACGTGGTCCGGCAGTTCACCAATGTTGGGAGATTCGTACCGTTAAGCATGAAGTGCAATTCAGTCCGATGTTTGACACAACGAGTAAGGAGCATCTGCTCGGATGATAGCATTGAAGAAGAACTTAAGATTGTCGAAAATCTCCTTCGCCAGAACGGGTACGCTGATTGATTCGTTGCTAAGTGCATGACCGTAAGATAACCAACGTCACCTGGAGCATACGGGTGCCAACTCTCTCCGCCGCCAGTCCGTAAGCCACTCAAAGGCTCAACGGTTGGCTGACGATGTTTGCAGACTCAGTTAACTGAGCGTCCCCTGTAATCAAATACATGACTAAAAGCACACAAATCTAACATTTTTTATCCAATTCGGGAGCTATACCTCGTGAAAGTCCGCTCGTCCCCGTGAATCGATCATATCTTTTCCATTCATTCTGAATGTAAGTCGTCGAGGTTAACCATGGTTACGAGTACTTCGCGGGCTACAGGTGGTCCTACGCCATGTTAAAGGTAATGCTGTGTTTACGACGGTTAGTGTTAAAGTTCAAACATGACGACAGTCCGACCATCGCATCCGACGATGTCCAATGCATGCTTCACATCAGAGTAGGGCAGGAACGGTGACTTACGCGGGCTTTATAGTACCGGCAAACTTGCGCTGCGTCTACCACACTCTTCCATCACTTCAGCCCAGTGTCAAGAAAGAGTCAAAAAGACCGGAGGTGCAGATGGATGGCAAGGTCGAGCCCGCACCTTGGCGTTCCACCCCAAACCTCCTGCTCCACAAAAGAAATAAGTAGGTTTTTGATTAAGAACAGCAAAGGGGGTGGCAGGGATTCAGTTTGCGCGACGTACGCCGGCAACTGGGTCCGCCACTGCACCCCGAAATTGCCCTCGACCCTTGTCCCCAATACCAACGCGACAGAGAAGGAGAACGCGACCGGCCACGAAAATGTGTATTAGGAAATTGCATATTTATAACGCCCTGCTGTGCTTCGCCGGCAATCGGCCCAATGCCCTTCGTGAAGAACATTCCAGACAAGTCGGTCGATACTTCGAATACGCAGATTGATCAGGCCCGAGAGGAAAAGTCAATGGAGAGGCACCACGATTAAGATGACAGCGCAGTAGAGAAAACGCACGTGGCCTCCCGTGATCGGCTGGCTCTTGTTTTTGGGAGTGTAGGCACTCCCAACACCTTCCCTCCATGTAGGTCAGTACCGCTTCTGGCGTGGGTTGACCTGCATCCGACGTGTTGATCGGCGCACGCGGTTGGTCCGGCGTCTTCGTCGTGGTTTATTGCCTGGAGACACGGGAGCGGTGACTGATACCGAAGGTGGTATATCCGAAGGGGACACAGCAGTGGTTTCTGGAACCGACCGATCTGCCGGAATGGCGAAGGTATCCAGTAGGATGTCAAGGGGGAGTGACGGCGCCGACTCGAGCCCAGTTGTATTACTACAGTGTCGCCGTCAGATCTGGTTGTGGTGGCGAACCCAGATTTCATCACTAACGTCGACGTCAAACAACATACTGCCTCTGTGCGCTACCACGGTTGCTTCAATCCAGTCAGGGAATCCCGCTCGATAATCACGAAAGAAGACAGGTGTTCCGGTGGAGAGCTTACTGCGAGAGACTGGAGAAGTCTGCGTGGGCTGTGCACCGGTAGGGATGAGTGCATGAAATGTTGTACGCAGTTTTCGGCCCATCAACGCTTCGGCAGGAGAAACGCCACCAGCGGACGCCGCGTCCGGTGTTGTCCTGCAGGAAAACAGGAACGCCTGGACTATCTCATCTGTGGTCCCCTTCCCACTAGCTTTCAAGAGGCCTCTCTTAAACGTGTCGACAAAACGCCCCGCCTGACCGCTAGACTGAGGATGGTTGGACGGCGAGCGAAGATGCTGGATGTTGTGCTGGCGGCAGAAATCCTTAAACGTCGACGAGGTAAACTGAGAGCCATTATCTGAAACCAGAACTTCTGGCTAGCCATGCTGGTTAAAGATGCGTCGTAGAAGGGCGTCGTAGTGGCAGATGTGGTTGCTGGATTCAGTGGAGCACTCTCGGGCCACTTCGAGTAGGTGTCAACCAAGATTAGGTAGGAGACTCCGTTAAGTGGGCCAGCGAAGTCGATGTGCTCGCGTGACAAAGGCCTCTGCGGTGGTTGCCAGGGTACTGGCGGTTGACGAGACGGCATCTTGGCAACTTGCTGACATCGAGAACAGTGTCAAACCAGATCGTCGATATCGCCGTGGATACCCGGCCAGTTAGCAAAACTGCGAGCAATAGACTTTATTCAGCTGGTACCAGGATGAGCGGCATGGAACTGGCGTAGTACAGTGGGTCGGAGGGAAGATGGGATCACCACACGGTCCGCAAACATGAGGCGGGAGTCAACCACAGATAGCGACGCTCGGCGGAGGAATAGTTAGCGAAGATAGCCAGCGAGAGCAGTGGTTGGCCAGCAGGTCTGTACGTAGGTGATGGCCTGACGGAGGACAGGGTCCTGTTCAGTAGCACGTCGGATGTCCGTGGCAGTGACAGGAATACCTTGTATAGCGTCTAATATCTGACGACGCACATCGTCCTCAATTGAAATAGCGGCAATCACGGTATCTTCCTCCGGTTCCTACTGATTTCTGATGAGGCAAGGAAGGGCGTCAGCCTGACCGAAGTCTGTAGTACGGCAGTAGCGAATGTCGAAATCGTAAACAAGAAGGAGGGTTGCCCATCGCTGAAGTCAGGCTGGCTGAGTAGACGGGAATGCCTTTCTTCGAACCGAAGATTCACAGCCATGGCTTCTGATCTGTCAACAACGTGAAGTGGCGACCGTACAACAGTTTGTGAATTTTCTTGACGGCAAACACGAGGGCTAGGGCCTCTTTCTCGATTTGCCCGTAGTTCTTCTCTGTAGGGGTTAACGTGCGATATGCATGCATGATCGCCTTTTCAGACCCTTCAGGAAAAGTATGTGAGATGACGACAATACCTCCTCGGTGTCCCATCTAGGACGAACATACAAACTTGACACAGGAAAAAAAAATAAGATACCGCCCAACTTCTCTGCAAAAAATACCAGACCGGCCGATGTGTAGTTAAAGCTAAACGCTAGGCGCTAGTCAATGCACACGAACCGGACTGACAGACTCCTAATGTGGCGTTGAGTTTCACGGAAGCATCGCAACGCATGTTCACCTGATCAGTTAGACCATCTAATTGGACCAATTGTCTTTCACGGTTAGCAACAGAACCTAACAGGTAAACAAATGAGAAATAGAATCAGGCAAACCTCAAGGCTTCCATAATCAGCATTGAAACAAATTGGCCAAGTAGAATATACATGGACTCCTCCTCCGACGAACAGAATTCAAATCGTCTGGCTACTGATGTCAGTTAACTGGGAAGGAACAAATTAACGACGATGAAATGGTGTGATTTAGACCGATAATCACCGTTATGCAAACATTTACGCGTGTCTAAAGCACACTAAAATAAAACACCCTTTGTCTCACGTCCATTCAGAAATCATCACCGGAACTTTACGCAATACAGCCGGAGTAGATTACCTACCGGATTCTATATCTCGGGTCTTTAGTTTCTCTTACCTGGCCGCATCTGCGGTAAGCTTATATCTGGATGTTCTTTTTTAAAATGTTAATTTTTTAGAGCACTGTTGAAGTGGATGCGTTTGGACGAATTGTAGGTCTTTATCCATTCAAGTGAAAAGTGCCATTATTCCTGGGCATTTTGAGATCACACCATCAATTAGGCAGATTAGTTCTTCTTCCGTCTACGTCCTAGAATCTGGATGGAAGAGTCTGATACCAACAGACTGCTTTGTAGTCTCCTAAAATCGTCGACTGGGGCCCAGGAAAACGACTTTGACTTTGAAGCTAAGAAGAGCAATTTTACGGATTCCCTTCCATGTAATATATGCTGTCTCGAGGGGCGGGGTGAGGGTTAGACCAGTCAAGGACAGAGGATTGTTTGAAAAGAAAACAGTCAGCACCGCGGTTGTTGACCAAGACCGTTTCTAAAACAATGTCGTTGCATTTCTGCATTCTGCCCCACAATTAACTACTCAAGAGCGGAAAATATATAGTGCAGAAGGAAGTGGTGATATTTAAAACTTTTTTTCCGTCTTTTGTGCAAACCTTCTATCAGGAAGTTCTTAGGGAGGGAGATAAACATAATGAAAGGGAAACACTTCATTTCTGCCAGCCTGACAGGGTTAGGAAAGTATTTTGGCCCGGATACACCGGTGTATTGCCTGTTTCACTCCCAGCACTCCTCTGCCTTCACGCCCTTCTTCTGCTCATCCCCTCCACTCTTCTCCGTCACCCCACCCCCTTCTCCCCTGCTTCTTTTCCCCTCCAGCTTTGGTCGCACTTTCTTCTTAGATGGCAACATGTAATAGGCACTTGTCACTGTGTAAGGTTGACAACAAAATGCTCCACAAATTAAAAGTCAGAGGAACATAAAACTTAGGACAATCCCTTTCTCTGATTTGGAATATCCAGAGAACGTCAGTTGTTTCACTGCATCCTGAGTCAGTCATTATTGTTACCAGAGTTACATGCAGGCGCGTGCCTTAACCGTGTCTAAATGCGACCAATCAGTGAAGACCGGCAGATCGATCCGTGTAACGTCGTCGTCAAGCTCGGAGGCAGATATTCAACTGTAGATGTGGAGGCTCACAAAGACTAGGGAGACCGGCATGGTCATTTATAACTTATTAACTCTAGTCAGACATTCATACGTAATGGCGGGTTTTCGGAGACCTAGGTTCGAGTCAGCGTTCTTCGGACATCGAGCTTTATTAAGTCCGGCAATCTGTCATTGGGCCATTGGCCTACTATCCTGTCAATTTCGATCGAGAAAACCGAGTATACCAGCGTGTGGGGACACAGTGCAGTGAACCAGAAGACAGGGTTACTGAATTACAATACCTTCGATGGGTCCTTAGATCTAATGGTTGTCCGGACAACTTCGTCAACCAGTGTCTGCGCAAGCGAAACGACCGACGAAATCCGACCGACCCCAAATTTTGGTGATCTGTGTCGTACGTGAAGAACGTCTTGAAAGTCGTCGACCGCCGTGTTACATCCCTTGGAATTGGAGTTGCACATAAGTCAGAGGCAACCATTAGGTGTCAAGTCACGAGACCGAAAGACGCACTGCCACGGCAGGAAACATCTGGAGTCGTTGGCCGGGTCTGGTGCAGTAGTGGGCAATACAACTATGTCGGAGAAACTGAAAGACTACTTTGGACACGAATGGCTGAACAGGCAGCAGCAGCAGCAGTGAGGAGGAACGACGCCAGCTCTCAAATCGCGACTTATTCGACGGGGCCCAACCACGCATTCAAGTTTAGCGAGACATAAATCCTTGCTAGAGGTGACAAACATGTGAGCCGCCGATTGCTCGGGTTATGGTTTTCCTGTCCTTAATCAATCAACAAGTGCAACAACCTCCCAGCTCCATATTGGACGCTGAGACTTTGCTTAGACAAAATAGTTAGCCGCGAGGAGGGCATGCGGACAACCACAGACTCTGGTGTCATTTTCGGCGAGCCAAATTGCCTTAAAGCCCAGAGGGATGACGAAATCCGGTAGTCAGCAAACAGACTGCCTGGGATGGGCGTGAGAGCCGATAGTCTTACCGGCACACAAACACTTAGCAACTGGATACTTCAACACACGGCCAGTTCAGCCGCGATGCACTTGGGAGCTGCCAGATCTGATAGGCATGTAGCAGTCTAGCAACTGCATCCCATAAATGCTGCAACGCCTGGACAATTTACTACCCGTATCTGCTTTTGTCTCTGATGATGGATTCGAGTGGGAATCCGAAAGGTCAGGCTAATAAAGCTCTCGTTCCATCGATGGTGTCCCCTTCTTCACAATACCGACTATGTTGGAAGTGCGTTTACCGATCGGATTACGGGACATATTCGTCTCGTCGTTGCGTCCGGAAGCCCATTCCAGAGTCCTCGAATGCAGTCACACAGGAATCAGTGATACAGTAGGTGGGTTAAATCATAAAATGTCCACTGACATTCCGAAATGCGTTTTCGTTTCGAAAAGATTAATTAAGTAGGGTTCTAAAACCAATTCTCCTGCAGCATAATTCTACAATAATTCAGTTACCTTAGGATGCTAGATTTGAATGGACTTCTTTCCGGCTACATGTAAAAACTACACTCCGTATAAATGACTATTAGATTAGCATGAATATTTCTCATTGATTTTGGATGCCCTTAAATAGTCATTGATATTTCATTGAAAGTATGCATAAATGTATTCATTCTTTTGCTCATTCATAGAAAACTGCGTCTTCCGATTTTGCAGTCGAGGAAATGACATGATTGTGTTTTTAAAAAATATATAATTGTGAGATTTTTTAATACTCTAAGATCGCCGTTCATAAAACGTCATCTCTACATTTACGAATGTGGCTTATAAAGTTAACAATATCATTCAAATCCACTGCTAAATTTTATGAATTCCACAGGTCTTCTCTTAATACCGTAGAGGAATGTATGGTTTTTTGTACGCGGAAAATATACGGCATATCGTTTGGAAAACCTGAATGCAAGTGTAACTGCAGGTCATGTTCAAAATTATTCGGGAATTGAAATAGTTCTTGAAGACAGAATTATACCTTTCTTTTGAGCATAAAATTAGGAGAAGGCGTCATTTGCTACAGAACGAGCAAAAGAATAAAAAATCTTATGTTCGTTGTTGGACAAAAACCTGATCGATACTAAAACTGCACTACTCCTAAAACCGAGAGGTACACATATCCCCAGACTATATGGTCTACCAAAAACGCATAAAAAAGACACACCTTTACGGCCTATTCTTTCTATGTCTAATTCACCTACACACAAACTAGCAAAATGGCTTGTCAAGGAGCTAGAACCAATTCGACAATTGTTTTCCACCTACACGATAAAAGACAGTCTTCATCTCATTGAAGAAATTAAGGACCTGAACATCGCCGACAAATGTATGATCTCTTTAGACGTGGAATCCTTATTTACCAATGTACCATTGGCTGAAACAATAGATGTTATATGCGCCCATGCGTCCAAAACCCGACTCTCCCCCGAACTACTACGAGATCTGCTGGTACTTTGCACCAAGGATGTTCAATTTCTGTTTAATGGGGAACTTTACAGACAAATTGACGGAG